GGTGCCACCACTGCTTTTTGCAGTAGAAGAATGAAAAGACATGGGGGATTTGTGGAAGAAAATGATTACAGGGAGAATCAAGGACACTCTGTCTCTCGGTCCAACTTGGCAGATAGTAATTAAGACCTTAAAGAACACGAAAGTGAGATCTAACCAGGCTGTGAGTGCCCTAATTCTCAGCCAGCAGGAGCAGCCGCCTTCACCTCCCACTGCTGGGCGAGCATTCCTATCTATGCCGCCCTTGGAGAGAGGGAGGGAGAGTCAGAGACAAGAAAATAAAGAGAAAGAAACTCCACAGCAAACGCCAAAAAAACAAACAGAATCTGTTCAGCAACGGCAGGATGTGATACATCCTGAACTATTTGCTCCACCTTTAGAGACACTTTTAACACCACAATCTTCTTTAAGTTACAGCTTTACTACCCTGGAAGAAAAGAAACCAAATTTAAAATGGTTTCCACCCAAACCAGGGGGACATGGGGGAGCACTCAAGTGGGCACAGAGAACAAAGGCACCCCCAGGGCAAAGGCAGTGCAGAAAAAGCTCCAAGGCTACGTTGGACAAATATCAGCAATTACAGAAACAGTTGAGCAGAAACAGGTGGTTCAGACAGCTTCAAAGAGAGACAAAATAGCCAAAAAATTGCTAACTATATGGTATCTAGTTCAAAATTCATCACTGTAATTAAAAGTTGATAAGCTGCAATGGTCACAGTTGTTACCACCTGGCCCTGAGAGACTTTTCGTGTAACATTGCCTGCTTTTGTAAAATCGTTCCCTTTTTCCTCTATCTGTGAACAACGGGAGAAATATTGAGAGAAAGAACTCCATTTCCTAAAGTTAACTTTGTGAGGTTTTTTCTTTCCGTCCGTTTTTCTTCTCTGCGAGAGTATGTGGGGGATGTGAAGAAACATAACAGCAGCAAAGAGCAGCAGCAGAGCAGGCAGTCCACCCCCCCGCTCCCTCTCTAAGAGGAAGCACAGGGACAGTACCCAGTTTGTTAAAAAGTCATGATTCATTGGTTTTTTAAATGTTTTTATATACCCTTTTAGAGTTAATTTTGTGTTTTAAGTTATTATTAGTTGTCCTGGGTTGATTATGATGTTAAATTGTATCCCCATTCGTCCACCTAACCCAGACACAGGTTTTGTATTCTTAAAATTCCATCTAAGAGTAAAAGTGAGTGGAAAAGAAGCACCAAGTCTGTTATCAGAGACTGTACTTGCTCCCCCCGCATCGGGAGTTTTGACTACAGCACAGACAGACAACAAGACACAGATCGCCTTGGCTTTCCAACTAGCCGGAGCAGAGAGGTCTTCCTGGACTGTTTTCTTTCCCTTTTTCTGAAACGAATCGAACCTGCTCTGGACTGGGGACTCGGGGGAGCACCGGGAGCTTGCACCCGTGGACTACCGGGAGCCCAGCCTGGGCAGTGGCATTTTCCAGCGCCAGAGGGACTGATAACAGAGCGAACACCCACAGGAAAGAGACCCTCTGAAGTTTGTCATCTCTTCTGAAGGGCGAGAGGTTTTGTAATTTGATATCGTTCATTTTTGTGCTGGGTAGTGCTGTGCCTGTGAAATAAACAGGTTTTTTCCACTTCTCTCGGAGAAATCTCTTCCCGAACTGGTTGGGGGGTGGGAGAAAAGGGCCACGTGGGTTTGCTTCCCAGGGGGAGTCCCATTGGAGGTTTTCTCCCAAATTTGCCCTAAACCAGGACATGAGTTTATGCAGTTGCAGTTTTTAGAGTTTTACTAGAGAAATTATTGTGATTCTTTGAAAGTTTAAAAAGCTCCTTTTTTTAAAAAAAGGTGTTTAAGATGAATATTAACAGGAGTTACCTTGCAATAATTCGTTTTAAAACCTAATGTTAAAATATTGAATGATTTACAGCTGCTAGTAAAACAACCTTCAATTACTGTTATCTACAAAAGGTATTTATGGTTTAAAAATATTTCGCTAGGAGAACTTCACTGCACAAGACAAAGTTAAGTTAAAGCATATATTACCCATTTGCTTGTTTTTTCCACAATTCTAATAAGGTAATTGCAGTGGGAGTCCTTTTGTTATAAAAAACATGCATAACAGCATATATGCCAATCTGCACTTCAGATTTTAATTAAGAATTGGACTTGATGTTTCTGAAAAGTGCTACAAAAGCTGAATGTAAACTTGCCAAATCCTGTGCTGTTGTGGTTTTTTCTCTAGTAAAACTGCACTTTAAAATCCTCATGTTAGCGCTCAGGAACACACATAACCATGAATGGTTATATGAAGGTGCTTTATTTAAAGAGCTCTGGGTGTCAGGGGCACACATACGCAAATCTGACCCGATTTAGATTTTTGAGTTGAACGTGTTTTATACTCTATTGTTATGCAACTTACATATTAATTATTAAACTTACATTGTTCTATTGTATGCATTGTTTTTTACCCAAGCATGAATTTCTCGTGATCCCCCCTTAGCCCCCTAACATGGTTCCCCATGTTCTCTAAACAATAATTATGTCTAATCACATCTAACAATTGTATCATTTATCATGTACTGACTACACAGGTGCAGCTTGCAGACCTAGTCTTTAGCAAGCACAAGGCCTAACATTTCCAGAGCCTGCTTTTCCCAGGGCTTTCCAAACCTAACTTGCTTTCTAAGTCCCTGAATTTTCTAAGATTTTAAGGCCTTTTACTATCATTTCCCCCCTTTGAAAGCATTTTCATTTCACCATAAGTGCAAATGTTTTCACTTGATACAGTCCTTTGTTTCTGAGTTTATACTTGGTGTTCTTTGAATCCTTGATTGATGTAAACGTTGTCCTGGATGCTGTCACGAAATGGAGAACTGGAGGATGGTGGGTGTAGATCTCGCATCAGTGCCTTTATTATATTCTGGTTCCAGGATGTTTTCTTCTGTATTTCTCTTTTTAAGATGCTGTAAACTAACCAAATTGCTAAAAATACAATTAGTAAAATTATCACATTCTCAATGATAGATTTAATCCATGAATTCACATTCCACCCTAACCCTTTGAAGATTTTGCCTAACCAACTTGTAGTCAAATCCTTTTGCTCTTCCTGTGCTTCATGCTCTATTTGTTGCAACTGATTGATGTCATGTTCTACATCTTCTGTTACATTTGGGATGTGGCCGCAACAATGATCAGTCTGTCCGTTTAAAAAACCACACACTCCATGCTCTTTCAGGAGTAGCAAATCTAGGGCCAATCGATTTTGTAAAGTCATTTTTGTGGTGGCTTGTAATTGTAGGTTTAGTTCTTTAAATCCTTCTCAAGTGACTCTTGCTAGTCTATCTACCTGACCTGTAAGTTTGTACAACATTTCTCTATTCCGATAGTTCGCTACAGGACTGAGAAAGGACTCTAGGGCCCACCCAAATTTCACTCCACTAGAAGGTTCTTGTCAAATGTCATCCTGATTCTCATTGTCTAGAACTTCTGGTCTGGTTCTTATCTGCAGAAGTTCATGTTTTCCATTAAATGGGGACTTTTTCCAAATAGGACATAAGGTAGGGAGGCCCAAAGTAATTTCTTTTACTTTCCCATCTACAGGCAAATGTGTTGTCCAAGTACCATCACTTGTTGCCCATACAAATGGTCCTGGACTTCGGATTGTACTCCTGGTACATCCTACAATTATTTTGTAATCCATTTTGCCTTGTTTATGTTTAATACCTCTGCAAGCACAACCAATTTGTAGAGCTGTTACCAGAGCTGGCATTTGTTTTATCTCTGTGGAATCAGAAGTGCAGTCATAAGTTTTATTACATGCCCACCAACTTACTTTGTCTGTCTTTGTTCAGCTACTAGTGGCAGTGTTCATTACTGCTGGATCTGTTTCGTTCTCAGAGCCTTCCCACTTAATACACCAAGGGGTGTTTGCCATATATTGGAATTTTTGAAGTATACCCATGGACCAAACACTGTCCCAAGGCTCTATGTGACCTTTCCTATCTTTGGCCTCACACTTCCATATCAGAGTGGTTTCTGTAATGTTTTTTCTGATCTTTTCATAATGTGGCAAAAAGCATTCCCAATTTGCGATGTCTTGGTTTTCAACCCACCACTCTATGATTTGTCCTACCCTGCCATGACTTAAGATGCAATCCCGTTTCCTCAGAGGCCTCATCCACTCTTCTGTTATTTTCCAGGCCTCTTTGACTACTTGCCTCGACTCTGGTACTTGCTTACAAATAATTGTTTTGTTCTTTTGTACTTTAGGTAATTTTGATGTTGTAATTCCCCAACTTATTGGGTCTCCTGCTGCCTTCAGTATTGGCAGACAGGCAGTTATTCTGCTAGTGTTTTGTATTTTGGCAAAGTCTTTAACTAATCCAATCATCACATTCTCAGCCCGAATTTCATTGGAAATTCTTATCACTTGTGTTTTTGCTTGCATCTCTCTCTTCATTCTAGAATGAAGAGTGATTATTTGACCTTTTTGCATTCCACATCCCAAAGACATCAATAACCATAAAATGAGCAGTGGTGCAACTACTATTAACACTCTTAAAGCAATTAAATGCATCCTATCTGTAGCTTTGTTGGTCCTACAGTTTACACAGTCTGTGATCTGGAATGGATTTTCTTCACTCGGGTATAGTGAATCCAGGGGTCCACACCGGCTACTTTCACTGCTGTGAAGGTGGTCAACAGTACCTGATGGGGCCCAGTCCACTTTTCTTTCAGTGGTTCTTCATTCCAATTTTTAATGTACACCTCGTCTCCTGGATGTATATCATGAACTGGATTCTCAAGAGTCAGTGGTCTGTTCCACACGAGGGTGCTCCGAAGCCGGGCTAAAGTTTTCCCAAGAGAAAGAACATAATTATATACCTCTTGTTTCCCTGTGACGTGCATTTGGGTTAGGTTCAGGAGATTCATATGGTTTCCCATACAATATCTCATAGGGACTAACTGACATTCCACTCCTTGGTTTTATCCGAATTCTTAACAATGCTATTGGCAAAGCCTGGGGCCACTTCAGTTAGGCTTCTTGGCATATTTTACTGATTTGCCTCTTTAGTGTTTGATTCATTTTCTCTACCTGTCCACTTGATTGGGATCTCCATGGCGTGTGGAGGTCCCAGGTTATTCCCAGCCATCTACTTATTTCTTTTACTATTGTTGCTATAAAATGAGGCCCCCTATCTGATAATATCCCTAAGGGTACCCCAAACCTGGGAATGATCTCCTGTAATAACCACTTAACCATTTCCTTTGCTTGATTTGTGTGACAGGGAAGGGCTTCTGGCCATCCTGAAAATGTGTCAACCCCTACCAACAGATATTTGTATCCCCGAGTCCTTGGCAGTTCTACAAAATCTACCTGCCAGTAGTCTCCTGGTTCTATTCCCATCCTGACTCTCCCTAGCTGTGCTTGGCGTCTAGCCACCGGGTTGTTTTTCAAGCAGATCTCACATTTTGACATTACTGATTTTGCCATTGTTAGCATCTGTACTGAGATTAACTTTTGTTTTAGCAGTTTTACCAATGCCTCTGCACCCCAATGACATTCATTATGTTTAATTTGTAGAACTTCTCTCATTATCAAGGGGGGTAACACTATTTGTCCTTGTGCAGTTACATACCATCCTTCTGAATTCTTTTGTGCATTTAGCAAACGTCCCAATTTCTCATCTTCTACTGAATATTTGCGTTTTGGAGGCAAACTGAATTGAGATACATTAACATTTAAAGGTATCAATGCCATTGCTGTTTGCATTTTCCGGGCAGCCTGTCGTGCTGTCCAGTCTGCCTTTCGATTCCCTTCACAAATCTTGGAATTTCCTGATTGGTGTGCTTTGCAGTGCATAATTGCCACTTGCTCCGGCTTTTGCACTGCTTTTATCAATTGTAGGACTGCATCTTGATGTTTAATGTGTGTTCCTTGGGAAGACAGCAGTCCTCTTTCTTTCCACAATGCCCCGTGTACATGCACCACTCCAAAAGCATATTTTGAATCAGTCCAGATATTTACTTTCTTCCCTTCACTCAGCTCTAACGCCCTGGTTAAGGCAACCAGTTCTGCTCTTTGGAAAGATGTGTTTGCTGGCAAGGCCTTTGCCTCTACCACTGCACGTATTGTTGTTACTGCATATCCAGCGTATCTGGTCCCGTTCTCCACAAAACTGCTTCCTTCTGTAAACAGCTCCCAGTCTGCCTGTTCCAGTGGGACGTCTTTCAAATCTGCTCTAGCTGAACAGGTGTGTTCTATCACTTCCACACAATCATGTTCTAATGGGCCTTCTTCAGTCGTTGTACCTAAAAACAAGGCTGGATTCAAAAGGTTAGTTGTCTTTAATGTGACATCATCCTGCTCAGTCAGGATTACCTGGAATTTCATCATCCTGCTTGGAGATAGCCAATGGCCCCCCTTTTGTTCTAAAACAGTGGTTACCATATGTGGTACATAGACATCTATGTGTCTACCCATCGTGAGTTTCCTAGCTTCTTGTATCAGCATCACAGTGGCTGCAACTGCTCATAGGCATGAGGGCCATCCAGCACTCACGTTGTCAAGTTGTTTGGAGAAGTAGCCTACCGGCCTTTTCCATCTTCCTAAACGCTGGGTTAGTACTCCCAGAGCTAGGTGTGATCTTTCATGCACAAACAGCTGAAAGTCTTTGGATAAATCAGGCAATCCTAACGCCGGAGCCGTTGTCAATGCTTTCTTCAGTTTGAGGAAGGCCTCCTTCTGTGGTTTGCCCCAGGTAAACAGCTGCGTCTTCTGGGCTTCATACAGGGGTTTTGCAATTAGTCCATAGTCCATGATCCACAGGCGACACCACCCTGTCATCCCAATGAAAACTTGTAGCTCATATAGGTTCCGGGGTTCTGGAATGGCACAAATAGCTTGAATATGATTAGTACCCAGCTTACGTTGCCCTTGTGAGATTTCACATCCCAGGTAAATCACAGTCTGTTGGCCAATTTGTGCCTTTCCTTTCACCTTATATCCTCCCATTCCCAGCTGATTTAGAATTTCAATCATTACCTTTATGCAGGTTGCTTTTTCTTCCGTAGCTATCAGTATATCATCAACATACTGTAACAGCAGGTATTGTTCTCTCGGTACTTGCCCATTCTCAGTCCAAATCTCCAGCTCCTTCGCCAGCTGACTTCCAAATAGTGTTGGACTGTTCTTGTATCCTTGTGGGAGTCGTGTCCAGGTGAGCTGAGTTTTCCTTCCATTTTCTGGGTTTTCCCATTCAAAGGCAAACAGTTTACTACTTTCTTTGTCAAGAGGTATGCAGAAAAAGGCATCTTTTAAATCAATTACAGTAAACCATCTATATTTCTCTTTCACGGATGTCAACAACGTGTAAGGGTTAGCTACTACTGGGTAAATATCTTTAGTTATTTCATTTATTGCTCTTAAATCCTGTACTAGTCTGTACTCATCATTTGGTTTCTTCACTGGGAATATTGGTGTATTAAATTCTGATTCACATTCTTCTAAAATTTGGTACTTCAAAAATTTATCAATGGTCTTTACTATTCCTTGCCGTGCTCCTGGTTTTATAGGATACTGTTTGACCCGCACAGGCTTTACCTCATCTTTTAATTCCACATGTATTGGTTGTGCCAGTTTAGATTTTCCCGGTATATCTGTTTCCCATACAGAGGGAATTACTGCATCCTCTACTTCCTTAGGGTTAGTAGGGACAGGTTTTTCTTTTATCATTAAAATTTGTCCTGTCTTTGATTCAGGTATTTTCATTAATAGTTCCCCGTTCTCAAAAGTTATTACTGCATCAAGTTTTGCCAATAAATCTCATCCTAAAAGTGGAATTGGACACTCAGGCACATATAAGAATTCATGTGTTAAAACTTTGTTTCCAAAACACAAATCTAGGGGTTGCAGGAATGGCCGATTCTCTTCCTCCCCTGTGGCCCCAACTATTGTTGTTTTGTCCCCAGTTTGCCCTTTCAGGTAATTTAGTACAGAATATGTAGCTCCCGTATCCACCAGGAATTTTACTTCTTTATCTCCCAATTGTATAGTTACTAAAGGTTCCAGTACTGACTTTTGTTCCAATTCTAGTCAGCTGCTGTACTCTCCTAGTACCATAGCCTTGGCAACATCTTCCTGCTGGAACTGATTGTCCTGGTTAAACTGGTTATTCGGGTTGTTTGGGCATTTTTTTTTTCCAATGCCCCTCCTGCTTGCAATATGCACATTGATTTAACCCTAATCCTGACAAAACCGATACCCCTCGTCCTCTGCCAAGTCCGCCCCTCCCCAATCCACGACCACCCCTGCCGCGTCCTGAATTCTCTCTCCCTTGTAATACTGCCAAGAGATTTTGCTGCTGCTTCTTACGAGCTTCCCTTTCCCTGCTATTGTATACCTTCCAAGCCACTTCAAGTAATTTATCCAAATTCCTTAATTCCTCTCCTTCTAACTTCTGTAATTTTCTCCTGATATCGTCTTGCGACTGCCCAAGGAAAATAAGAGCAAGCTGAACTTTTGCTGGTTCTATTTCTATTTGCAAATCTGTATATTTTCTCACGGCTTCTTTAAGCCTTTCCAAAAAATGCAGTGGGGGATTCTTTCTTTTCCTGCCTTATCTCATGCAGTTTAGACCAATTCATAGTTTTAGGCACAGCATTCTGAACCCCTATCTGAACCCATTCTTGATATCTTTTCAGCCTCCGCATATCCCTAAATACATTAGAGTCCCACCCTGGATCCTCGGTAGGAAAATTCTCATCCAAAGTCCCTGTTACTAACCCAGTTCTGAGATCTTCTCTCACTCTCTCCTTGGCTGCCCTAAGCACCATCTCTTTTTCAGTAGAATCCATTAAAGTATCTAATATTACTTGTATATCATCCCAATCTGGATTCTGAGTTTTCATAACCATTTTTACCACCCTTGCCACTTTGTCAGGATTCTCTCTATAAGTTCCAGCTGATTGTTCCCAAATTACCAAATCCGCAGGAGAAAAAGGTACCTTTACAAACACCGGCCCCTCCGCTCCTACTCCTTGTCTCAAGGGGGCAATCACAGTCTGATTTTGTCTGCCCAAGTCTTTTTCCGTTTTATACAGGACCGGGGCAAACTTACACCGTGTCCGGTGAGATACCGGTGTCGCTGATTTATTATCATTACATCCATTACTACTATTTCCCCCCCCAGCATTTTTCACATTTCCTTGTATTATGGTTAAATTTTGATAATCTCCTGGGGATGAAGGATCTGGTGAAGGCAGGAGAGGAGGGTAAAGAGGGAAGGGTGAGGTAGGATTAAGTGGGCTAGAATTAGGTGTAATAGGGTTAGGTGGAATAAGACTGGGTGAAGTGGGGGCAGACAAGACAGAGTCAGGTTCTTTCAGTTCTGTTAAAGCCACTTGTAAATCAACATCCATATCGTTCCCCCGACGCAAACTTTGTTTTAGTGCCAGGTGTTTTAAACATTTCTCTTTTACACAAACCTCACATTTATCACTCACACATGCTTTAACCACCATCAATCCACACTCAGCTTGCCATTCTGGCTTGTCTCGCAGATAGAAAAACAAGTCAACATACGGAACTTCATCCCATTTTCCCTCTCGCTTACAAAACAACATCAACTGTAAAATAGTATTATATTGCAAAGATCCATTCTTTGGCTACTTTTCTCCACTATCCAGGACATACTCTGGCCACCATGTATTACAATAATCAATCAACTTAGCCTTATGTAATTCTTCCCCAAAATTACCTTGTTTCCAGTGTGCTAATAAGCACCCCAAAGGAGAAGTACCCGGTATGGGAGCACTGCTGCCCAAAATCCCTTTAAGCTTCTCCATATTATAACTATAATACACCACAAATGCCGAATCTGCGATGCTTTCGCAGTTGTCTTACGGACAGCGCCTAGGCTTTACCAAGAGGAAGTCCTTTAGCCCAGCCACGCGCAGCTTTCACCGCGTCTAACTGGCAGGCACCCAAACCAAAATAAAGCACCTTACCTCTTCTCCCGGGGACGTTGTGAGCAGCGGAGACGGTCGCGGCTGATGGGCTCCCCGAGAATCCCTCGGTGCCAGCTGGAGCATGATCGGGTCGCGAGTTCACTCAGCAGCACTCACAAGGTCCCATCTGGGTCGCCAAAATGTTAGCATTCAGGAACACACATAACCATGAATGGTTATATGAAGGTGCTTTATTTAAAGAGCTCTGGGTGTCAGGGGCACACATACACAAATCTGACCCGATTTAGATTTTCGAGTTGAACGTGTATGCAACTTACATATTAATTATTAAACTTACATTGTTCTATTGTATGCATTGTTTTTTACCCAAGCATGAATTTCTCGTGATCCCCCCTTAGCCCCCTAACATGGTTCCCCATGTTCTCTAAACAATAATTATGTCTAATCACATCTAACAATTGTATCATTTATCATGTACTGACTACACAGGTGCAGCTTGCAGACCTGGTCTTTAGCAAGCACAAGGCCTAACATTTCCAGGGCCTGCTTTTCCCAGGGCTTTCCAAACCTAACTTGCTTTCTAAGTCCCCAAATTTTCTAAGATTTTAAGGCCTTTTACTATCACTCACCAATTTAAGCATATACTAGGCAAATTTTTGTTATTAATATGTATTTTAGTAATATTTGCAATTCTTGTGAGTTATCTTTAAAGCCAAATGACATAGAATTGTGATGTATTTGTTACATTCTTATAATCTTTATAATGAATTCGTGTTACTGTTATATTGTGTTTAAAAGGTATGTATCAAACTTTTAGTTACCTTTTTGTAGTAACAGAATGAGATTAAGTTATGCTTTTATTTGGTATAGATTAAGTGTTAATAGAATTAAGCAAAGTTATGTTTTACTATGTTTAGGTTTGAATGTTTTTAAGTTTTATAACTTTGGATATTCTTTTAAGGTTAAGTTTTGTTATTTCCTTTTCTTATAATTAATTTTTATCAGGTTTAAATATTGTTTGATTTGAATTGTTTTATGTTTCACTGGAGACACTTGTTCAAACTGCATAGTTATTTTCCTAGAGAGATGAAGATGACTAAAACTGAAACAGCTGTGATAGAACCCTGATGAACTCCTGCTTATAAATAGAAGTGAATGCAGTCTGTGACACCCTTGAGTTCATTGGAAGTTCTATTGGTTGTTGCAATCGCTGCAGTTTTCGTTTTTTATAGCTTTGTTATTTTTCAATGTTTCCAGAATTCCAAGAAAAAGTACCATTGCTGAGGGCCTGCTGCCATGGGAGAGGCTTCAGATGGAACCAGCTGCTGAATGGTTTAATTGGTCTGTTGCCTAAGGCTCCTGATCATTTGCTTTGTACAAATGCACTTCAACAGTTTGCTGTGCTTTAAGCATCTCATAGCTGCTACTGTTGAGAACCTTGTTTTGAAAATGAGTTAAGAGACATCTTTCCAGTTTAAAGCCTAAGGCCCTGGCCAAGCCTTAACTTTACCTGGATGGAATGTTTGCCAACAGATCCAGATGTTTTCTGTACCAAATCAGTATTTGAGTTGCTTTTTGACTTGTCAGTTTGACCCTATTAATATGATAGCTAGATCAATTCTAAAGTGGGCTTGGAGAATCATTTATGATGGTGGTTATCCAATCCTTCACTGATTTTTTTGTTTGTTTGTTTGTTTGCAGACTATAAGATGCTGGTGCAGTATTTTAGTGGTTATTGGTAGTTTTATATTACATATGTTATTAATAATGTTTATTATTTAATTGATTTTAACTGCTTGCTATAAGGTTTTTCTTATTCATTGTGTATATGGTTTTGTGTTGATATGTATGACAGAAGTACATCTCATTTTATTTTTTTAAAACAAAAAAACCCAAAAAACAAACAAACAAACAAAACGGGGGAAATTGATGCCTTAGAAGCATTTGATTAGTGCAGTATGTGTATTAAAAATTTGGACCACAAGAATGAAATATTTACATCAAAATTTAGCAAGATCATATAAGCTGAATTTACAATTAAGTGTACCACAGCTACAAGTCAAAATGATTTATTGACTTCAAAGGGAGAAGTGCCTGTGTTTAGTTGACAGGTTCAAAAAGGTCACCTGTTCATCTGACCAGACTGTCTGCCTCTGAAAACATGAGACCCAGTGAAGAGACGTCGTCATGCAGCCTTAGTACTCCAGACAAGACCAGAAGTGGAGCTGCCAGGACACAGTTGTGTCTGAAAACTACACAGACAGTTTGCCAACAGAAATTTTATGTTGTCGTCATGATGTTGTTTCTCTACCAATTTTTTTTCAGTTATCTTCTGTTTTAAGATTTAAAAGGATGTGAAGAACAATCTGAACATCAATGCCCTCAGTCAGTCACTGATCGGCTGCCGGCTGACATCACAGGAGCAGCGGATGTTCCAAGACTGAATCGCATTAAATCATAGTCTGTTTGTGAAGATCTAAAAGAGTATAGAGACTCCATCTAACTGTATATAAAAGCAAATTATAATTGTATTTTTAAGCAAATTGCTTTCATGCTTAGATTGCATAAATACCAGAGCACGTGTTAAAAGTAGTTAGATAATGGTTTAAGATAAAAAGTTTAGTTTGTATAATAATTGTTACGTGTAGGTTATTGATAAGTTTAAAAAAGACATTAGTATAAGGTGTAAGTATTCCCCCTTCAGGAGTTAATATGAGCATATTTGAAAGTTCATTTAACTGTAAAGCCTTAACTGTGATTCTGCAAGCATAGTGTCATTTGCATGGAACAAACTGCTCATAG